AGTAATTTGACGTAATATCTCAAGATGATGGCATAACAGCATTTAATATTGAAATATCTGGCCTCCTCACATTTCTAGTCTCTCTTTAAAAGGCCAACAATGTCTACATTCCTTTCAATTTGCCAGAAAAAAAGGTGGTGGATGTTACAAAGGCACTGATAATACCATCAGTTGACATATTAAAAATACAATGATATATTGTGCCCATTCTAATCTTTGACAAGAGCATATGCAAAGTGAAAGAAGCCCCTCTGTGACTGTTTGTCATACTGAAGGGTTCAGTGACTGTGATCAGACATGTGTTGCCTCTGAGTGACAAATTTGGCACAGTGAGGGTTGTTGGTATATATTTACATAGGCAATGACTTTGCTGCTAGCTGCTCATTTTGAGGTACAAAGTGTTTACATTCCAAGCCTGAAGCAGAAGACCTGTATGAAAATGCAACATTACATGTGAAAAACACTTTATTCTAAGGCCTTTTTTTTTTACTTGTTTCACATGAAGGGAGTGTTAGATTAAAGTATGACACAACAGTCAAAGTAAGGGTTAATTTAATATAGATTGATATGCTTAGTTTATCTGCTGTGTATTTGAACCAATGACCAAAACATATTTATTAATTTGTGTGGTTAGTGAATTTAATGAATTAGGACAGTGCACATTTATCAACACACCAAGAAGTCTATATACTATATACTGAATTTATTCCCTAGTAAAATATCTGATGGTCTAACAGTGGTGCTGGCAATACACTGGAGTACAAGAGTGTCTTAAAGAGAAACAATATGTGATATTAAAACGTTCATTTTGCTCTTAACATCCCCTAAAGATCCACCTCGTCCCACTTCCCTCTGGACAAAGGTAGAGCACTGAGGTGCAGACGGGCTCACCTTGGGAAGAGCCTGATCTCTGCTGTCATAGCTGCCCTGAATAAAGGCCTCGCTGAACAAGCCAGAGTGGGAACTTTTAATAGTTGTTTGACATTGTTTGTTTCATAAACTGTGTTTTGTTGTGTTCTTTGGTGGGGCATATTATCTATTGGACAGATACGGTGCTGTGAAATGAAATTGGGGACAATAAAGTCTAAATTCTAAAGTCTCGGCAAGATATAACTAGACAAGCACATGGTTTGCTACCTTTTTTGAATAAAACCTCATTCTTCTTCTTCAAAAAAAAAAAAGGAAATATCTTGCTTGTCAACATAGAGGTCATGTGTGGTTGTCATGGTGACAAACCAAACACATAAGTGTTAAATGACAAGCATGTAACTGTGATTACTGTAACGTTTCACCAGTTCATCTCTAACACAGTCATTTACAAGAGCATCTCCATCCTCCCTCAGCTCTACTACTCTCTCCTCAGCTTGTTGTGACAAAATAAGTCAACATCAAAAGAAAGTATTTTTTGAATATTTAACCTAAACCCTGGTACTAAATAAGGATCTCAATAAAAACAAGAAACCATGCGTGACATGTAAGGTTTTTTCTCATCAGTCCCTCTTCCAGCATTAAAGGGATATTTTTAACCCATTCATATATGAAAAATAATTTGCTCAATGATCCACATTTATCAAATGCTAATAGGCTCAACGGTTACAGCATCCAAATGCGAAGCAGCCTCCCCCTTTGAGTTCTCTGCTGCCGTCCATATGACCTCCATTAGACTTTTTACTCTATACATGATTGTGTCCTTTTGTCCCCAGTAAAATAAATAGCTCTGCGGCTCCACAGTTATGCAATAACAGTGGTACGGGCAAACACTACATGATACCATACGCATTTCCCTGCATGTTACCCTAAGAGGGATGAGACGTATGAATCATATTCACCATGAAAAGGTCATTGTTTTGCTCAGCTACCTTCAGCAGGAGCTGCCCGGGGTGTCGAGTCGCAGATAGATAAGTCAGAAATGACCTTAAAGCAAAGGCAGGAGAATGCAGGCTATTTGTCTGTCCCCGAGTCAAGGTGGGTAGAGGACGGCACAGTCACGTGTGTGCACTTGTTACTATTGCAGGGACATGACTAAACAAAGGAAGAGCAATGACAGAGAGTGCTAAGCAGAGGAAGACGAAATGACTCCGAGTTCCTGACGAGGTTTTATGTACGTGTGTGTGCTTGCGACATCTTGTTACTCACTTGTGCCTCCTGGTGGCGGCAGGACCCCAATTTTTGTCCCTACGTTCTGCCAAGGGAGGAATTTCTATTTATAATGAGCTGCTGCATTTAAGCAAGTCTTACTAACAAGGAGACAGACTCATTCTATTTTGTGTCCTATGACTTTGCAGCATTGTCCTGTTTAAAGTCAACTCTGCTGCATTTACACACTGTGTGTGAACAATGTGACACAAACCATAAAGGTTCAGGATTTTATGTTGAACAATAATGCACTAAGTGAACTATCTGCACCACAAAAAATACCTCGAAGTCTGCTTGTTGTAGCTGCAGGGATCAGTGTCTCTTAATGTTGAAAGTTACACCACAATGTCCCGGACTGAAAAACTGCTCACAGGCTACAGTGTTATCATTTCAGCCTTGCTTTACACAACAAGCCTCTCAGCAGCCCTCCTCAGGTTTCATGTCAGCCTTTGGTCCACCTGTGAGGCTACGGAGCACAGTGGTGTGAAATAGCAATCTTCACTGAGGCCACTACAGCAAAAAAAAACAGCTCAGCGTTTTTCCTCACTAACACTCCTCCTGTGACTACAGCGTGAGCTCTGTAGAACAACAAGGCCAAGCTGGCACACCTGCCCTACAAATTATCTATTGTTCTGCCTCTGCTGAAAAAGGGAAATAACGCATTATTCACCCCCTTGGTATCTGATTTAATGTTGACCCTGCAGAATTAAACCAAAGTCCTGTGCAAGCAATGAATCCCTATCTGAAGCACTGCAAGGATATGTAGAAAGATCAGCAAAAACATATTGAGTGCTGTATAGAAGAATGTGTATAAGCGTTTTCAAAAGTTGAGCTTTCTCTTCACTTTACTAAAAATAAGCCACTTTATGATAATCAATCTTATATCATGTCATATCCTCACACCCCTATAATAACCCCATCTATTAAGCTTTTAATCCGCATTAATGTGGCTCAGTCCAGGATCCCCTCGTCGGACTCGGCAATGAACTAAACATTGAGATTGTTTCTGGTGCATCCATCAATCATACCTGTCTCTTATTTATGTAGAGCTGACATGTCTCTGGTCTATAATAGTAACAAATATTACTGATGATTTCCCAGCAGGTATTGTTAAGCAGACATAATGAAGGCATCATCAAAAACAAAATCCAAACTATTCATCACACTAACATGACCTCTTAGCTTTGGTTTGTAAAAAAGAAATGTGATGCAGAACACAGCTTCTTTACAAGCGTGCAAAGTTATTTAGTTTGACGCCATTGGTCGTTATCAGACGATAGAAGCACCTCTAGACTTTTCTCTCTCACAGACACACTTGGATTTTATCTGAACACATGAGAAGAAAAGCTCAGAAAATACATTTTGACATCACTGAATTTCTTGAACACTGCAGCTACATGTTGGTTGCTATCAGTAAGAATGAAAAATCATCTGCCATAACTCAAAACCACACACAGATTGCACCAGAGAACACTGTATAATACAGAGTATATATTATGAAGGTGGGGCAACATTAGGGATTGTCATCAGTCTAGCTCATCAGATGTTATATGAACTATATTCCTTAAACACTTAAATACACATTTCATATATGCTGAGTTGTAAAATATGTATGAGAAAACATGTTGAATACTGTATAAACACATATACAGACAAAAAACTTAGGGTACCAATGAAGTCAAGCACCAATCTGATTTGTGTTCCCTTTGTTCCTAAAGTTCATAACTTTAGGACACTCCAACTCTTTCAAACTCCCAGACTAACCCTGACAATACACTGCAGATAAACTGTACCAGACACTGTAACGTCCCAGATGGCCCACTTTTCCCCGATGCACCACTGTGCAAACAAACACCCTGAGGTCACCCTCCAGGAGGTCACACTGAGAAGCAGTACACACTACTCCTTCAAAGTAGACCGGGCACACTTTGTACCAAAGCTGTAGATTATCTTGCACAGCGGAGTAACACTTTTGTTGATCAGGTTTGGTAAACCTCACTCTAACATGATCCCGAAGCTTTCCAGAACATTCAAATGTGTGCAGACACTCTGTATGAGCAAAGCTTGAATCATTAAGCACTACAGCTTCATTCTGCTCATGCAAGGACCACATTCACTGTGTTTGTCTGCCTTTCTGGGAACGCACTCGACCACAGCTGTGGAACAATGCTTACGTTACTACATCACCCATAATTCATCACACAGATATGAACGCAAAAGGTGCACAGAGTGGTGCAATGACGAGGAAATCTGAAAATAGAAAGCTGAATAGAACCTCTGTAGAGGGAAAGTAAGACATGATAAAGCACCGATGAGGATAGTTGTCAGAGTGTTTCTGTGTGTAGGCACAGCACACACTTCAAATCTGCATGATGAAGCAAAACACTGAAGAGAAAATACTGTGTGTGCAACATCTCACTATTCATGCTAAATTTTCGACTACATCTTCAGTTTGAAACTCGTGAAACAGTACACTCGAACCTTATCAGTCCAAAGAGGATTACAAAGTAATGACACATTCTTTATGCATTTTGAAACAATTTAACAAATAGAGTAGCTCAACGCTAGGCAAACAAGAAGACAACAACAGGCACTGGAACAGATAATCTTTTTATCCGTCTTTTTATCCTCATCACAAACATAGCCCAAACATTTTTTATATTCCTAACAAACAGCTTATTCATCCTGTTTCATATATACATATATACATATACATATATATATACCAAATGTAAATCCAACAAGACAGTAGAGGTTTAGACAGTTTGAACACATAAGAACACGATGTAGAGCAACACAAGTCTTTCAACACAGGCAGCCGAACTGATTGTAAAGACACATAGAGACACAAAGAGACTACTCACCAGGTCGTGGTTTATGGAGTTGGAATCATCTTCAGGAAAGGGGATATAGACAGCTAGAGCCATACAATTGGCAAAAATAGCAATTAATATAAAGATATCAAATGGCCTGAGAAAAGAGGTTAAGGAAAACCTGGAGGAAAATGATGTAAAACTCAAGAAGATAACATATTAATGATAAAGAGACACATGTCAAAGGCCCCTAATGCGTTGTTAATACTTCTGCACAATTAATACCTGATTACTTATTCAAAAAACTCAATAGGTTAGACATTATGCAGGGTTCCAGGGGCCCTTTGATCTGCATCCATTATGAACAACCCTTTGGAAAATGTAAATGAACTAAGAGTATTTCGACTGCAGTAACTGGACTTGTGCTTTGGTTTGTGCTGCCAAGCTACTAAGCTGCCTTTATATTGTGTGATTGATATAAAATCAGAGAAATGGATCCTAACCTTCAGTTAACAGGTAGTGTTGAGATTAAGAGTCAGTAAAGCAAGCATTTTTTGTCATCTTGCCCTTTAGATCCTTATAAAGTATCTAAGAAAAAACCGTTGGAAAGACCTTATTACAGCCTGTTTTACTTGTCTTAGTATTACTCTGTTTAAATCAATAGTCATTCTACATTATCACCAGCATTTCTTGTAAAACTAAACTACTGAAACTAATGGTAACAAAAGAAAAAAAAGAAAACGGTAATATGACCTGGATTCATTACCTTTGCCCACCAATTTATCTTTGAGGACAAGTGACCCTAACCCTTTTTTCAAGATTAAAAAATATTCCCTCTTGGCGTTCATGAGCTAATACAATCAGCTATACCAAAGTATAATGGTCAAAGTGTTTATCAAGATGGTTCTGGTGTCAAAGTTAAGTTTACCTTTAACCTTTTGATTGATAATGTTTTGACCTCTAACTGCATCTCTTTATATCATTTAATGAAATTGAGTCATAATTTGTAGCGTAGATCACACTGACCTTTGATTTTTGGCCATCAAATTCTAATTGGTTCATCCTGATGTCCAAGTGGATTATTGTGTCCAATTTAAAAAAAATCTTGCCTCATGATAAATTGTGTTCAATTGGGACAGACAGACTGACATCCTGAAAACACTTGTTGGTTTGGGTGCCATGGTAGACATCTTAAATTTACTGTCACTGGCAGGATACAGAAACAAACATTCAGGGGTGCACTGTTGCTGTATTCAGTCCAGGCTGAACAAAGTCAGACTCCTGATACAGCAACAGCTGCATCTCAAATAGTGTACTGTTTGTAAATCCCCATTGACATTTTTGTGGCCAACGCACAAAGGTGGATTATGAAATGTATCTGAGCGACTCACGTGAGGCAATCTTCTTTATAACATCTGATGGCTTTCGTGATGACAGCATCTGCTTTAGCGTCCCCCCACCCCCACCCTGAATGGTGCACAGTCTACACCACCAGTATTTTAGGATCCTAGGACTCTCAATATTTTTGATGAGAAAATTGCATTTCAGTTTGACTTCAGGGACTTCTTGAAACGTGTTCTCTTGTCTTACCAGCAATCAAAACCAAAGATATTAAATTCATGCTTATAAATGATAATAAAAAAAACTTTATCCCATTGTACCTAAAAATATTGTAGTGTTTTTTTTCTTTATAGAATGCATATGTAGGCTACTATTAAAGTAGTAGTTAGAACTTAAATGATTTATTGATTATTTAGATAGTGTCTGATTAATTCTCTGTTAAATGTCTGACAGACAAATCCATAAATAATTTGAGCTTTGTCAACAAAAACTGCTTTACAGTTAAAACTTTGCGCTAAGACCCGTACCCACCACCAAATGAAACCACAGTAAAGGATACTTCCACTCCACCAGGCTGATGCAAGCCCTGCGTATGGGGTTGTTAAGTTTTAGGCAGAACAGAGCCCTGGCTGGCCTGCTGTTGGCGTTGCTGCCTTGTTTCTTGCTTTTGGCATACTGTGCCCGCTTCTTCTGTGCCAAAGCACCTACCGGGATGGTGGTGGACGTTTGGGCGGGCAGTACAGGAGGAGCGGGTGGTGCAGCAGGAGCTGCTGGGGCCGGGGTAGGGGCCGCAGCGGGGGCCGGTGCAGGGGCAGGGGTCACGGGGGGAGGGGCCTCTGGGGCCGCAGCAGGGGCTGGGTCTGGGGCGGGCCCGTTGGCGCTCATGGTGCGGGTGTGGCTCTGTGAGGAGCATCCAGCAGCATGGATCTGCCAGGGTAGACAGGGAGGCTAGAGGAGGGCAGAGGAGTCTGACCAAAGAGCTGGCACGTCACCAGAGGGAGCGACTCTGGTGCTGCTGGCATAATTTGCCTCTGAGAATGAGAAAAAGGTGAGAAGTGTCAGTACATTCATTCATTTAGGATAAATCGATAAGAATGCCTTTATAGTCATTGAGATTCTACAATTTATTTTCCTGTGTATCTCCTTAAACAAAAGTACTATTCACTTCATGTCCACATGCATTTTAACCACACACAGACACAACACATATATAATAGTATTTCAAAAGGATAGATAAAATTCACATTTAAAAAGCCTTTGGAAAATATAAGAATAATCTCCGTTACTTGAAAGTGAGCATATAACATCTGTCTTCTCATGACCACTGACTAATAACTCCAAGATGAAAAGAACAATGTTGCAGCTGCCTTTAGTTTGTATCTCCAAAGATGCTTAAATAGGATCACAGATGTTCCCTCACATCATTTAAAACCATGCTTCCCTATTGAATTGAATTGTGTTAATGTAGGCCTTAATATTGTAGTAAGACTTCCTCTATGCTTGTTTTCTACACCAGTTACAAATAGACTTGTATTGCTTCTTTTACGTGACCCCCTTTCTTACTTCTACCTCATACAAAGCTGGGTTTGAAATATGTTTGGTAAATACATCTTGCCTTGCAATATTCAAATGCCTTTTCTGCGCCCACATGTTGGAAAGCTCTTAAGCAGGAATACAGTACTATAGGTGCTTAAAATGGGCACAGAGGCTATGGCAGATGAGCAGAGAGGGTATCAGGTAACTCACATTGTTACAGTATAGGCCTACATACTGGCCTGAAATGGAAATTTGAGACCACGTGAGAACTTTTAAGTTCAAGTTATAAGATGTATGACACACACCTACAAAGTCTAAGAGATAATAGAATTAGAGTACAAGAACTTATTGGACCAAGTCTTGTTAGATATATAGACTATGCTTAAAGAACTGTCGTATTAAATTATATCATCGAATGTGTAACACAAAATCTATCCTGGCGTTTGCCTCACAAATTGTCGAATAAGCTGCTGTAAAAAAAAAAAAAGAAAAGGGAAAAAAAAATATGGCAGCTTGGCCTGGCTTTGATGTTGCTATCAGTAGTATAAATATAGCCGACAATCTTAAATTTTCTGACCCTCAACATATTTAGGGACGCAAAACAACAGGAAGGCAGGTGACATGCAGCTCAAGCCAAAACACACACACACACTCATAGGCTACACACAAAAATAAGCAGATAAATTCAGAGCTGCCCCTGTCAGACATCACTTGGTCCCATCAGTTGTGTAAGTCCTTGAACTGCGAGCAGGCCCCGCAGAGGAAAAAACACAAAGGGTCACATTGCAGCGACCCTCCATAAGGAATTCATCTTCATATAGCATACATGTGATGTAAGGGATGGTGTAATGTCAGATAGCACGTCTGCTGGTGAATTCAGGTTTGTCAGCTTCACGTCTCCTTTGTGCTACGATGCTGCCTTTCACGGAGCCGAGGCTAGTGCGAGACCAATGTGGGCAAAATGCGTATTTAATGCGCTTACTGGAATATTAATTTCACTGCTGCATCGAAAACGTCGACAGGACACCCGTCGTGAAACGTACAGTGACATTTCCATGAGCGGCTCGTGACAAAATAGCCATCATCAAGCGTCCTCACATTTCTCCTTGGACACCACCGGGGTAGGATATGGTGAATTCTCCCCCCCCTAAAAAAAAAAAATGATGTGAAATGACAGCCTGACTCCAGGCGCTCATAGTGGAAACTGAGCAACGCGCGGACGTCAGATGGTCCACAGAAACAGCTGGCGTCGTTATTACAACAAATCTCAATCACTGATGCTCTTACACTGAGGGCTAATACAGCGGACACTCCACTTGACCAGAGCCCACATCAGTGTAAATCAGCCAGGCTTGGCAAGGCTCTGTTCAAATGCATTTCAACATATTGTTCATGGCAATGCGATGAATCATCCAATCCACAAAACATGACAGCGCCGAGAAGAAAAGTGGCCATTAATAAGTGCTGTCCTCTTGACAGTAAAGAAAAAGCATCATCATTCCCTGCCTGCATGAACGCAGCTATGCTAAGAGGCTAACTTCTGTTTAGGGAGCAGAAACCGCACCGTGCAGTTACCTTTTTCTGAAGACTTTAGGGTTCAGCCGCTGTCCTCTCTGCTTTCTGACACGGGTCCAGTGTTTCTGAGGACGAATAACGCAGGTCCGGTGTCAAACGACGGCGGTTTACCGATCAGCTGCTCCGGGAGCAGGAGGGACACATAAAGCCTGTGCATTAATTAAGCTCTTCCATGGTGATGGTGGAGAGCTGGAGACAGGAGAGTGCGCACCAGACCACAGAGCATCCTCGTCCGCTGCCTGCTTATCGTCACGGCGCCAGTGAACAGTGTAACGAGAGCACATCAGTGAGCAAGCTCTCCTCCTCCTGGCCCCGACTCCCCTGCTGATGCACAAGACCCTGCTGTGCTACAGCGTGTTCCTAATCTTACCTGTCCAGTTCTTCAATAGTAAGTGAAACCTTTCAAACAGAGTCACATGCAGCATCCTTTGACCATATGAAGGTCACTTCATGTGACTACTAACTACTAGCCTACTTAAGGGTTTGGATACACTTAAGGCTGTATTTTTTATTTGCTCTTTTCAATCAGGGTTCTCCAGATGGAAAATAATCAAACACATGGCACAGCAACTTATTGTATCAGCTAAACATAGCCTGCCATGGCACAACAAGGCCCTTTAAAGCTGCACTAGGGAAATGTGATTATGGGAGCAATGGGGGGTTCATTTAGGTGCCTGTGATTTTGGAAACAACCAACAATAAAAAAAAAACAAATACTATCGAAAAACCAAATTTTGCCTAATTCTCCTCGTTTTTCAATTGGAATGCAGGGTATACAATGTAGGCTACATTGCAACCACAATTAATACTTGACATTATGAATGAACCCATCAAATGATTAGGCCAAAAAATAACTTGCTGTCTAAATCAGCTGTTAATAACAAAATCCATACATTGACACCATACATAGCATCTGTAGATTTAATCAATATATCAACCTAAACAACAGACCAAAAACAACAGCAGATTCACCCTTTTCAACAATAGAAACACCAACACAACAAGCTGCAAGTAGCATGTAGCGTTAGTCCAATACACATAGCCCTTTATAAATGCAGCCTACTTTTAGCTCATGACCCTAACTTACAATATGTAGCTCATTCAGATAGCCCTCTCCTTTTACATCTTTCTAGTCTAAATTATCCAGTATTTGTGGCAATGTCTCCACCAAGTTTGAAATAAGCAACTGTATTGCTGGAATTCTTTGAGCAATACCATTAATAGCATCCACTTTCCCTCATTTCCTAACAAAAACAGCAGCAACACAGTCCGTACTGAGCTTATTAGCACAAATTAAATGTCTTTCTCCTATATATAGATAGAGGTCTGCATATTGATTACAGTTCTTATTTTTAGAAAAACATGAAAAAAATCACTGCTGCTGCAAAAGTTTCAGACCCATTTGGATAAGAAAGGAGAGAATGCCCTCAAGGTGCAGATACATCTGCAAGTTGAATAAAACATGAGCACACCCACATTGTTACATGTTTTCATGTTCTTTTTCATAATATTTACAAATCCATAGTATTGAAGCTTTACAAAAATCAATCTGTATACCAAATCTATAATAAATATGGTGAGTTTCCAAGCTATTTGGCATTCAACCAATGTAGTAATTACACACACGCTTGCTTTTGCTCTATATTTTATTTTCTGCTGAATACGTATGTATTGATTGAAAGACAGAACATATCAACTAAACATTTGGCTCACATTCAACTTCATACAGATGAGAGGCACATGAGTCACGTAAAAAAAAGAAAAAGAACATATTACAAATAATTATAATAAAGGAATGTAAAGAGTATAGCTTTGAGGCACAATTCTCAACTCTATACATCAACCCTGCTTTTACTCTATTACAGACACCTCACGCTTTTGCATTCTTCTAATTTTGCTCTATTGATTATTGTCTCTCATGCCAGAGTCAACTAAAAGGTTTCTCCGACAATATGTTGCTGTGCTTCATACTGCTCCCTTTAAACTACATTACCCAGTTGCCTCTGTGACGTGCTTCTTGATGAGAAAGTAAGTCAACACCACCCTGCCTGGTCTAGTTGTGACACATCACAGCTCTCACGTCACAGCTGTTCTCTGTAAACAGCAAATTCTAGAATACAGCAGATGTATGTTTATGGAAACATAACAGTCCCTTCATAGTTTTGGATTTACAATATACTGTGTATGTTTGAGACTACGGTGCAGCAAAATATTGTGACCGGCATTACTCTTAAGATCTGCAACTCTGTATGACATTAAATCATTAGTCCATCTCAATACCTTTGGATCTCACATGAGGTCATGTAAAGACACGACCTATTACCATGCTACCTAAAAAAAATAATTTATGTCTTTTTAAAAGGCAGTCTGGTAAATGCAACAGCATTAAAAGGCACATCTGTCAAGCACTCAGCTACACATTAATCCCACCCTTATAAAAAACTAATGACCAAATGATAGCTTTGACCCACAGGAGACCCTTTAAAAACTTTTTCATCCACTTGTTATGTTGGTGTCAAGCCTCTTTGGCAACTCAGGGACTTTCTTTGTAGTTTAATAGTAACAAAAACAACCTCTTTCAATATAGCTTTTCTAATTAGAGTTTATAAATTTCATTTACACACATGTAGCCCAGCATAAAGACAGCAACTAGAATAGTTAAATGATTTAGTTGCAGTTTGCCCTTTTTGACATCCTGTGAAATACTGCTGAGGGATTAATGTCATTATTTTAAAAGTCTTACCTGTTAGAGTAGAATAGCTGAGTGGAGGCCTCAGTTCACCTATACGTCCCAGCTGACGACAAAGAGCACAGAACACTCATCTTTATTCCACAGAGAGCGTGTCATTAAGTGAGCAGCAGCAGCAGCAGTGCCTATTTCGTGCGAGCT